TCTGAAATCCTTAACTTGGGGTACAAGATTCTTTAAAATCTGATTCTTCTTGTCTTTCCAGTTTAATCTCCAACCAGTCACCCTGTGCTTTGCCATATAGAACGGACCACAGAATCTCCAAATTCATCATGTAGTGTCATCATATTCTTGTGTCTTAATTAACATGATGCTGATTTTTTTTTCCTGGACTGCCATGCCTTACCTTCCCCAGCAAGCTTCCGTAGTTCATTATCTTTACACCCAATTCTCAAAACCCATGAGTATAAGGATCTGATTTTGCCTTTCTTATTAAAGAGCTCCTTCGTTCCCTGTGCCCTTGCTGTTGACACACTCAACAGTCCATACTGTTATGCTTAACTTGGTTTCCTCTGATCTCTACCAGGGCCTGAAGACCTGCTTTAGATACACTTGAGTACACTGTGGGCAAGTATGGCATGTGGTGATGAGTGATGCTCTATGAGGCTCTGAAAATACAAGTACCTGGGTGAGGTAAGAGACCCATGCCTACACTGGTGCCCAAGTACTTCTTAAGCATCCTGGGCCACAGCCATCCCTTCTTTCTTCAGATTTAATCATTTCCGCAGACACACGTTCTCAGTCATTTTAATATTTGGTATCAGTGTTTGGCTCACCACTGTATGTTCCTGTTTTAATATTATGGGATAGAAATCTCTGTTTTCTGACTTATCTATTTATGTATCTCTCTCTGTGTGTATTTGTGTATCTATCTATCTATCTTCTATCTATCTTCCTATCATCCTATCTATCTATCTATCTATCTATCTACCTCTGTGTATCTTTCTATCTACATAATAAAATCTACTTGTTAACATACTTAGACATACTCTGCAATAGATATCTGAACTTTTGGCTATGCCTCTAAAATATTTCTTTCTAGGTCATCTTTGCAGTCTCCTCTTTACTAAAACTTATTAATTATTAGTAATCCTTAGAATTTTGTATTTAGTCTCTTCACTTCTATGATGCTATATCTCTGTGTCCAAGCAAGCTCGTTTGTCCCAGTGGTCATTTTTTAAATCACTAATGAGATATCATTACAGATCTATGCAGACATGGTTGAGACCTTGTGTTTTATTTTATTTTATTAAGAATTTTTTCATTCATTTTACATACCAATCACCGATCGCCCTCTTCCCTCCTCCCAGCCCTCCAGCATCACCCCTCCAGCACCCCCCCATTCCCTCCTACAAGAAGGGAATTGACTCCATGAGGAGTCAACAGAGCCTGGTACATTCAGTAGAGGCAGGTCCAAGCCCCTCCCCCTGCCTCAAGGCTGTTCAAGGTGTCCCACCATAGGTAGTGGGCTCCAAAAAGCCAGCTCATGTACCAGGGATGGATCCTGATCCTACAGTCAGGGAGTCCCTAAAGCAGATCAAGCTACACAACTGTCTTGCTTATGCAGAATGCCTTGTCCAGTCCCATGGAGGCTCCACAGCTGTTGATCCAAATTTCATGAGTTCCCACTAGTTTGTTTGGTTGTGAGACCTTGTGTTTGCTGTCTAGCCTTCCACATTTAAGAATCTACGTTACATGGCCTAGGGTAAGTCTCAAAGCCAGTCAAATTTAGGTAGACCACACATGAGTTCATGACCTTGGCTTGACTTGTGGTCGTATTCCAAGATTCCGGCATCAGAGAATGGCCTAATAATCTATGCTGTGGCATGAATTACAGTGTGTGTGTGTGTGTGTGTGTGTGTGTGTGTGTGTGTGTGTGTGTGTGACTGTATGTGTGATGCATGCTTTTGCATGAGTGCATCTGTGTGCTGCTGCACATTCATTTGGAGGACCAAGGAGGCTATAGAGAGTTTTCTGCTACTGTTCTTCTTTTTGATTGCCTTGAGACAGGATCTACCACTAAACTGGGAGCTTGCTATTTTGCCTAGACTCACTAGTCAGTGGGCTCCCAGTGACTGCCTGTCTCCCTTCCCTAATGCCAGTGACAGAGCTATGCAGCTGTGTCTGGGTTTTCACATGGGTGCCGGAGATTTGAACTCAGCTCTTCATGCTTTCCTAGCAAGCACTCTTGTATATGTAAACATCTCTCATCCCTGAATTAGAATCTCCAGAGTCTTCCTTGACAGCCCATTTCTCTGCTCTTCTCTGCCCCCACTGGGTTTGTTAATGACATCTTACTTACCTACCTTTTAACATCTGTCAAATAGACTCACACCTTTCCAGACTTATTACCTAGACCTCCCATTCAGCCATAACTTCATCAAGCTGCCATCATTTCTTTGCCCAGCAGCAGCTTTCTCTCTGCCTGCTGACAAGAACTTTGCTCCTACCGCTGTACTGTGCTGGAGTAATCTTTACAAAATGCAAAGCCATCACATCTCCTGAAAATCCTTAGTAGCTAACTATAGCACATGCTCAAAGGACCTGCATGCTTTTTAAACGCTCTCCTGAACCTCGAACACTTTGTCCCCCTCTCCACTCCAGTCTTCTGGCGTCCTATGGGAACCTGATTCCACATTGGTTCCTTCAAGCCCCAGGCCATTGCATGTTACATATGACAATGTTCTGCTCTTCTCTGCCTGGACCCTTACTTTCCCTTGTTTTGTTTAATTCTTGTTTAATCTTGTAGAACTACTCTTTGGCATTGCTTCTTTAGAGAATGTCTCATCTCTTTGACTTGGTCACATTTGTGGTTTTTTTGTTGTATGTGTGATCATATGATGGATGGTTCTTTTCTTGATTTTTGTTCCTCGAGAACAGACTGCACACTGGTTGTACTCGTTCTTGTATGCCTGCCACCAATGTTCTGTTGAGAAGATAGTCATATTGATGTAACCAACCGTCTTATTAAATAAGAAACACAGAAACAATGTAAAAGAGAAAGCCGAAGGTCAGAGCTCAGAGCTAAAATCTCACCCTTCCGCCTGCGGTGTCCCAGCTTCCCGAAAGAGACCTATTTCTTGTCTGTTCGTCTATTTATAGTATTTTGTTCTGCCTTCTCATTGGTTGTAAACCCAAACACGTGACTGCCTCGTCACTGTCTGAATGTACAGCCCCCTAGGTCTT